AGGGGCCGTTTTCGCGTTGTCCGACATTACCGAGCGGATCGAATCGGAACGAATTCGCGAGTCGCTGATCAAAAACCTGGAAGCGACTAACACCGAGCTCAAGCAGTTTACCTACACCGTTTCGCACGACCTCAAGTCGCCGCTGATTACCATCAAAGGGTTTCTGGGCATCCTCGGCGAAGACATCGAAAAGCAAGACTCCGCCGCTATCGAGGAAGACTTGTCGATCATTGGTTCAGCCGCCGACGGAATGAAACAGCTGCTCGACGACCTGCTGGAACTTTCGCGTATCGGCCGCAATTACAAGTCGCGTTCGATGATTTCGCTAGAGGAAATCGTCTGCGAAGCGATCACGCTGTTGGCCGGCGAAATCGAAGCTCGTGATGCGAATGTTCGCTGCGAAATGGAAGATCTGACCGTCTATGGCGATCCGGTCCAGATGCGGCAGCTAATGCAAAACCTGATCGACAATGGCATCAAGCACAATCGCAAAGACAACCCGAAAGTTACGATTCGGGCCGTCGAAGATGACGACTTTGTCGTGATCGAAGTCAGTGACGACGGACCTGGCGTGGCGACCGAATACCAGGAACGTATTTTTCAGCTCTTCGACAAGCTCGATCCCGATTCGGACGGAACCGGGATCGGATTGGCCATCGTTAAGCGAATCGTCGACTTCCATGGAGGAACGATTCGCTTGCATTCCGACGGACTCGGCAACGGCTGTACGTTTATCATTCGCCTGCCGTCGGTCGAGCCGGATCGCAGCACAATCTACGACCTGACCGACTCGAAAGAGTCCACGTCTTCCTAGCCGAAACTATTTGGGCGAGCCGAACAACGCTTCCCGAATCACCGCGGGCTTGTCGGTTGTGATCGAATCGAATCCGAGCTCCGCGTAGCGCTTCGCCTGGGCTGGCTCGTTGACGGTCCAAACATGACACTCGATCCCTGCGTCGCGAAGCTTTCGAACAAACTCGGCATCGACGACGGCGTCTTCCCCTTTGGT